AATCCGCTGCCCCCCCCCACCTTTTCCCGCTCTTTCAGCGCCGCCTCAGCACGCGCGGGAAAATCTCCAAACCCCGCCCCTTCCGTGACGTCACTTCCCCTCCCTCAGCGCAGCGCGGCCCCGCCCCCAATGACCCCCGGGAGCGCTTAATTAATCCCCAACTAATTAATTATGGATTAATTAATAAACGGGGCGTGGCCGTGAGAGGGCGCSGTCTCGCGGTGGGGGCGTGGTTTCCGTTGCGGGGGCGTGGCCTGTGAGGCAGAGCGGCCCGCTCTCACCATGTGGGCGTGGTCATGCTGTTTAATTTGCATACGAAAGGCGCCTTGGCGCGMTCTGATTGGTTCACGAACACATAATGGGCGTGGTCTCTCCGTTGCCACGGCAACGCTTCCGGTGCGGCTCAACCGGAAGTGGCGGCGCTGCCGGGAGGCGCCGCCGGTACCGGGGGGGGCCGGGGTCGGATCGGGGCCTGAGGGGGAAAATTTGGGGGATCCCCCCCGGTTTTTGGGGGACCCCCGGGGGTGGCGGGGACCCCCCGGAGCCTCTGAGGGGCGGAGGGACCCGGGGAGGAGCGGAGGGGCCTTTGGGTGGCTCCCGGAGGGGCCTTTTGGGGCCTTGTTTTGGTTCGGGGGGGCTCCCGTGAGGGTCTGAAAGGGTCTGGGGGCGCCTTTTGGGGTTTTCTGGTGGATTTTTTGGCGCTGAGGGGACCCTTCCGGGTTTTTTTTTTGGGTCTGGGGGTGCCTTTTGGGTTTTTATTTGGGATTTTTTTTTGGCGCCGAGGGAGCCCTTCCTGTTATTTTGGGGGTCTGGTGGTTTTTTTGGGTCTTTTTGGGGGTTTCGGGGGGATTTTTTGGGTCAAAGGGGAGCCCCTTTGACTCCTTCAGGGATCCCCAAAATTCCCGTCTGGAATTCGCTCCCTGAGGAATTTTTTGGGGGGGGGGGTCCCTTCCATAAATGAGACAATTCAGAGGGAATTTTGGGGAATTTTAACCTTTTTCTGCTTTTTTGTTTAGGATCTCGTTGGAACCTGATCCCCTCTCCCCCCTCGAGGCCTCGGAGCTGCGAATTCCCAAATCTTTTCCCCCAAAAAACCAAAATTCCCGAGGGATTCTCGGGGGGCTCTGGAAAGCGGAGGGGGAGGGGGGAACCCCAGCGACCCCCCTCCCCCTGGAGCGAGGCAGCACCAGGTAAATCCCGGGATTTTATCCCAAAAAAAACACAAAAACGGGAAAAAAAATGTGGATTTTTCACTCTCGGTGTGGGGTAAAAGCCTCGTTTTGCCCAAAATTCGGGGTTTTTTCCCGTCAAATTCTGGATTTCCCGTCAAATTTTGGTGTTTTCCGTGGGGATTTTGGGAATTTTGGATCRCCAAAATTGATTAAAAATCGGAATTAATGAGGAATTTTGGGGAGGAACCTTTGGATTTGGGGTCTGGGAGGAGGGAAAGGAGCTGAAAAAAMCCMAAAAAYTCAGRRATTTGGGGGTTTTACCTCAAAAATTCACTGTGGGAAGGGAAAAAACTGGGAAAAATTCGCTCCCAGCACCAAAATTGAGGATTTTTGGGAGGATTTCATGGGATTTAATCAATTGGCTCCTTCCCAGAAGGGCAGGGAAAGCCCCAGATTTTGCTCACTCAGCACCTCCAGCCACAGCCGGAGCCACGTTTGGGGCAAAACTCCCGAATTTTGGGCCAAAATTCCCTGAATTTCCAACAAAACCCTCCGGATTCGGGTCCAAACCCCGGGATTTTGAGTGAAAAACCCGGGAATTTGGGTCAAATCCCAGGATTTCAGAGCAAAACTTCCGGATTTGGGTCCAAACCTCTGGATTTTGGAGCAAATCCCAGAATTTTGGGGTGAAATCCCTGAATTTTGGAGCCAAACCCCTCAGGTAATTCCCCCTCCAACCCCTCCCTCCCGAATTTTCCCCCTCAATTCACTTTTCCCACTTTTTTTTCCTTTTTTTCTCCCTTTCCAGCTGCATTTCCGGGTTTTTTTAGTGCATTTTTTTGGGATTTTGGGGCTTTTCCCAGCATTTCCCGTTTTCCTTTCCCTCTCCGGGGGGTTCCCTTTGCCCCCCACCCCTTTTGATGCGTTTTTTTTGGGATAAAATCCCATTTTCCGGGGTTTTTTCACTCTCTAATTCCCTTTTTCCGCCGCCGACGTGGCCCCGGGCAGAGTTTAATTAACCCTTGAGTTTCTCCTGGATTGAGCAATCCCGGTTTTTTTTCCTTTTTTTCTTCTTTTTTTTTTTTTTTTCCTCCCTTTTTCTGTTTTTTTCTTAACTTTCCCAT